AAATCGGGATATTTTTTTAAATAAAACATTAAGATAATTAACAAAAAATAATAACACATTATATTTTTCAAAAGTAAAAAAAGCCAAATTATTGAAAAAATAATAGTGAAACTTACTATTTTAAAATATTTTAATGCAAAAAATGCTAAAAAAAGTTTTTTAAAAAACAAACAAAATATATTAGAAATTTTCATGTTATTGTAAATATGAGAAGTAGTACATGGCTTTTCCTCAACTTTTCCTAGCCTAACATAAACGCCATGTTGTTTGTGGACCAGTTGTGTTTTATACGATTGTTCACCTCAAAAGCCCTTCAAAATTGGTCTAGATGATTGTACATCACGTAGATGTTGCAACTCTTGAGCAATCCTAACCTAAACATTTTCCTGCGGATGTGAATTACGGGGACTGTTTGTACTGTATTTGATGCCTCAGTCAGATATTAAGTTTTTTTTTAATAATGTAACAGTGTATTAGAATTTCCGTTAAAATTTGGAATATGTGAATGTGTAAAATTTAATAAATGTGATTAATCAAGTTTGTTTAACTCGACTACAAATTGATTCTATTGACGATAAGAGTAAAAGAGGGGATCTGCTTTAGTATATTGATAGTGACGATAAAAGAAAAAAGAAATATATAAATTTCCTGTTTTCTTGTTGAGGTTTCATAGTGTAAATTGATTGTAAATTGATTGTGTGTTACAAAGTAATAAGTGTAAAGTGATCATTCTGTCTAAAATGTCCATTTTGTTTTTGTAGACAGGAGTTGATTTGATTGCTCTAAGCAAGGTAAGATTGTTATGGAATTCTTAATTTGGTTTACTTTTATTCTACATGTTGTATAATTGAACCGGCCTTGTTCTTTGTTTTAATATTAAAATGGTAGTTAAATTTAATTGTTAAATATTTAAATGAGGTCTGGATAAAATGCAGAAAGTACAAAAATGGTGATTTTTTTAGAAAACTTTCTGTTTGTTCATTATGTGACAAAATGTCAAAATGACTTCCAAAGTGGAAAAACTAGGAAGCCCTGGCAATATTTCAAAAAATTTTAATATAATAAAAAAAGATTATGGTAGTAATTTAAGAAGCAATATGGGGAATGGATATACTAGTGATTCAAAAGATGAAACATTTGAGTTTGAAGTTCCTCCTGAAGCTCCCGTATTTTATCCAAATGAGGAAGAATTTAAGGACCCACTTGCATACATTGCTAAAATTAGAGCAGTTGCTGAAAATACAGGAATATGCAAAATAAGACCTCCACCCGTAAGTTCCTGTTTATTACTTCTACCTACTCTTGTTAACTTCATACACATTTACATATCCTTTGAGTGACTAAATATTATTTTTATTTACTGCAAATTGGGTAGTATTTTTCACTAATTAGCAATTGCTAATCAGTTATTAAAAAAAAAAATGAAAATATATTATTTACCAACCAAACACATTAAACCTATATAAACCTACAGCTATTGAAAATCTGCACCCCACTTTTTACATTATGTTAATTAGACGTATTTGATTGTTATAATTCTTCTAATTTTATTAAGACAATTGTTATATTATTCAAAATGTTTTAACAAGAAGTTTAGTCAGCATTTATTGAAACTGAATGAGACTGATAATCTATTTATTTATTTAAGGTTCTTTTCCAATAATAAATATCACATTGAATGAGTTAACTAAATTTAATACAATTTAGGTTCTAATAATTAAAAGTGATATTGTTTGATTAGCAGTTTTGATTTCTTCCAGAATTGGCAACCCCCTTTTGCTGTTGATGTTGACAAATTACGATTTACTCCTAGAATTCAGAGACTTAATGAGTTAGAAGCAAAAACTAGAGTTAAATTAAATTTTCTAGATCAAATAGCTAAATTCTGGGAGTTACAAGGTTCTTCATTAAAAATACCAATGGTAGAGAAAAGAGCTTTGGACCTGTATACCCTTCACAGTTTAGTACAGTCAGAAGGTATTTTATATTTTAATTAACTAACATTTTGTCTTGTTAACAATAAATTATAATGTGTAAGGTGGTTCTGAAACAGTAACAAAAGAGAGAAAATGGTCTAGAATTGCAATTAGAATGGGTTACCCACAAGGCAAAGGAATAGGAACTATACTTAAAAGTCATTATGAAAGGCTTCTTTATCCCTTTGATGTATTTAAGGAAGGAAAATCACTTAAAAATATTGTAAGAACTTCACATATGTTTCTTTGAATTTGTTATTACAATTTTGGATATTAATTTTAGAAAATGGATCCAGAATCCAACGAAACTGGTGATGTTAAAACAGATAAAGATTATAAACCTCACGGTATTGTTGGTAGAATGGCTGTGAAACCTCCTGTTGAAAAACACGCAAGACGATCCAAACGCTTTGAAAATGAGGACAAGTTTGAGGTAGTTCTTTACAAAAAATGTAGTTTTTGTTTAATTAGAATTTGAATGATTGTAGGCAAAAATGAGAGATGAATGTTTTGCTGAGGCTGATCGTAGTAAAGAATTAAAACGTTTGCAGTTTTATGGAGCTGGGCCTAAAATGGCAGGATATATCAACAAAGAGAAAAAAGAAGAAAAGATGAGAGATAAACATTCGGCTTGCGAACTGGATCCTGTAAGTGTAATGGATATGCAACTGGACTTTATTTATATTTACTGTTTTATTTACGCGTTTAGGAGTTGCTGCTGAGTTTGAATTTTTGTTGCCGCCCCTAACAGTAATAATTTATTTTTAGTTGGCTAAATACGTGTGTCACAATTGTGGTAGAGGAGACGTAGAGGAATCGATGCTCTTGTGTGACGGTTGTGATGATAGTTATCACACATTTTGTTTGATGCCCCCATTAGCGGAAATTCCTAAAGGCGATTGGCGTTGTCCAAAATGTGTGGCCGAGGAAGTGTCAAAGCCCACAGAAGCATTCGGTTTTGAACAAGCACAAAGAGAGTACACATTACAACAGTTTGGGGAAATGGCAGACCAGTTTAAGTCGGAATATTTCAATATGCCTGTTCATGTAACATCAATAATAATTTGTATATTTTTTGTTATTCAAAAATAATTTATTTCAGATGGTTTCGCCATCGATTGTTGAGAAGGAATTTTGGCGAATAGTTTCATCAATCGATGAAGACGTCACAGTTGAATACGGGGCCGATTTGCATACCATGGATCATGGGTCTGGTTTTCCAACTAAAACATCACTTAATTTATTCCCAGGAGATCAGGAGTATGCTGATTCCAGTTGGAATTTAAATAATTTACCAGTTTTGGAAGGTTCTGTCTTAGGATATATAAATGCCGATATCTCAGGGATGAAGGTAATTATATGAAAACGGTTTGTTATAACAATTTATAAAATATGCTACATAATTATTGTGATGGTTGGTTGTATTGCATCTGAAAATAGCATGTATTAAGCAAGATTCATATTAGTCTTTATGTACTTTGTTGCACAGGTTCCGTGGATGTACGTTGGCATGTGTTTTGCTACATTTTGTTGGCATAATGAAGACCACTGGAGTTACTCTATAAACTATCTTCATTGGGGAGAACCAAAAACCTGGTAGTGCAGAATACTCTTTAAATTTTGTTCAAGTATTACTAAATGTTATGTCTTTGTAATGGATAGGTATGGTGTTCCTGGGAGTAAAGCGGAGTTTTTCGAAGAGACCATGAAATCGGCTGCACCTGAGTTGTTTCACTCTCAACCTGATTTACTACATCAACTTGTTACGATAATGAACCCAAATATTTTGATGGCTGCCGGAGTTCCTGTCTACAGAACAGATCAACATGCTGGAGAATTTGTTGTGACCTTTCCAAGGGCGTATCATGCAGGATTTAATCAAGGGTTTGTCATTATTTATGTTTCAATGTTTGTATATGTATTTTTTTTTAACATACGTCATGTTTGAACCTTAATTATGATTTTACAGGTATAACTTTGCAGAAGCAGTTAATTTTGCACCAGCAGATTGGTTGAAAATGGGTCGTGAATGTATATTACATTACTCACATTTAAGACGTTTCTGCGTCTTTTCTCATGACGAATTGGTGTGTAAAATGGCACTAGATCCTGACAAATTGGATCTGACCATTGCAGCAGCGACATATCAAGATATGCTTCAAATGGTTGATACAGAGAAGAAGTTAAGAAAAGCACTGTTAGAGTGGGTATGTGTATTTAAAAAAAAATCGTTAAATTTAAATCGGATGCAAATATTACTTTTTCAATTCACAGGGAGTTACAAATGCAGAAAGAGAAGCTTTTGAACTATTACCTGATGACGAAAGGCAATGTGAAGTATGTAAAACAACTTGCTTTCTGTCGGCAGTTACTTGTAGTTGTTCTGCAGATACTCTTGTATGCTTGAGACATTATTCGAGTTTGTGTAAATGTTTGCCAGATAAGCATACTTTACGTTATCGTTACACTTTAGATGAGCTTCCCTTAATGTTACAAAAGCTTAAATTGAAAGCAGAGTCATTTGATAATTGGGTCAATAAGGTCAAAGATGCTCTCGATCCCAACATTCCAAAGAGCATGGATCTCTCGGAGTTAAAAGCGTTATTAAGTGAGGCAACTGGAAAGAAGTTTCCAAAATCTGAACTTCTAGATACTCTTAAAAACGCTGTGGATGATGCAGAAAAGTGCGCCAGTGTAATTCGCCAGCTTGACTTAAATAAGATGAGAACTAGAACTCGCAATTCTTCAGATAACAAATATAAACTAACCATAGAAGAGTTGACTTTATTTGTTGAAGAAATTAATAGTTTGGCTTGCAATTTAGAGGAGGGTAGAAGCGTCATTGATTTGTTAAAACAGACCAAAGATTTCGAAGCAGAAAGCACAAGATTGCTCCAAATGGATCTCGGTGAATGTAACGCATCTGATTTAGAAAAGTGCCTTGATCACGGGAACGGACTTTGCATCGAACTTCCTTCTTTAAAGTTTGTAACGCAGCGTCTTCGTCAGGTGTTATGGTTACGAGACATTACCACCGTTAGGCGAAAGGCAGAAATCGTACAAATGGATACATTAAAGAATTTGTTAAAGTCAGGATTACAGTTACCTCCAGATATATTCATCGAAAGAGAGTTGCAAGTTCTTAGAGCTTTATTAGCTGATGCTGAAGATTGGGAGAAAAGGGCTCAACAATTGTTTAAGTCTGACTCGACAAACATAATTCAAGAAGCGGAAAGTCTGTTGCAAGAAGCCGAAGACATGGAAGTCTTTCTTCCCTCGGAGGAAATGCTTGCAGATGCCTTAAGTCGAGCAAAAGACTGGCTGAAAACGTTAGAAGAGATAAATTCTGCTGAATTTTATCCTTATTTTGACACGATGGAGGATCTTATTAAGAAGGGTCGTGCAATACCAATTTGTCTCGAAGAAGTCGGAAAATTAGAAACGTATATTTCGGCAGCGAGAGTTTGGAAAGAAAAAACAAGTCGTATATTTCTTAGAAAGAATACATCATTTACTTTAATGGAAGCCTTGTCGCCTCGAGTTAATACAAACATGACCAAATCGCGAAAAAAATCGGTAGAAGATGAGCCATACTACCTTAAACTAAGCAACTTAGATCCAGTCGCTGTTGTCGCATTTTTCAAAGAAAGTGAAGAACGCGAAATGGAAACCATTAAAGAACAAAGATCCATAAATGGATCAAAAAGCTTAGAACAGACTGCAAACAATACCTTCTGTGTTTGTCAGAAACCTGCTTTCGGTGTAATGATGCAATGTGAAGTCTGCAAAGATTGGTTTCATAGTGATTGTGTCCAACTGCCGAAGATTGCACACATGAAGAGTAGGACTAATTTTACAAGTACTGCATTGCAAATGGGATTTAAAGACTGTAAATTTTTATGCCCGAATTGCTATCGTACAAGAAGGCCACGACTTGAAACTATATTAAGTCTGCTAGTTTCATTACAAAAATTGTACGTTCGTGTACCAGAAGGAGAGGCGTTACAGTGCCTTACTGAAAGAGCAATGGGCTGGCAAGACCGTGCACGACAACTACTGCATTCCGACGAGTTGGAGTCTATTGTAGCAAAAATGTCGCTACTTTCTCAAAAATATACTGAAGCTTTAGCCAAGGAAAAGACTGAAAAAATTATTAACACTGAACTAAGAAAAGCTGCTAGTAATTTGGATGTCAATCAGAAAGTTCATGAACTGTCGAACTGGAGTGGTGTAATTACTAATTTTGAAGAAGGCGAAGAGAGGATGACAAGTACACCTAGTAGTAGTAATACAACAACAAAAGTAAATAGAAGTCCATTGGATGGCGGGTATGGTACAGGGGACGAAAATTCGTGCACTAGTTCATCGCCCAAGGAGGACTGCATGGATGACCATGCATATTCTTTACATTTATCAAAAGACGACGCCGATTCTTTGATATTTATTAATCCAGAGAAAAGGCAGCATATTGAAGAACTTCTGCTCGAAGGAGACCTCTTAGAAGTCTCACTTGATGAGACGTTCCATCTTTGGAAAATTCTTCAAGTTTCGAGGGACCTGGATAAAGAACCCATACTAGTAGATCTTGATGTAAGTATTTTTAAATTTATTTTATTAATTTTACTTTTTAAAATTGTTNACCAATGCAGTAAAGTTTTTTTGCGTTGTAACTTAATTATTCTAATAAGTAGGAAAGTATATTATCACGAAAGCAAACTAATTTTTTAATATTATTTTGATTGATATGCTGATAAAATATGACTTATATCATAATAATTTATGCGTACATACAAAGTAACTAAAAATTATGTTAATAATGGTCAATAGCGTGCTTTGTCCTTATTATTGTAAACGCATGGCTAAGAAAAAAAATTGTAGGCGTCATTTTCTTCAAACTTAAGTTTTATCGCGTGGAAACTATTTTCTCCAGTTTTCTTCATAACAGTCGATAACACTGCATAATTTTTGTGTGTTTGTGGTAAAATATAAACCACAATATGCATAAAACACGCAACATACACTTATCAGTGGCGGTTCGCGCCTACAAAAATAGGCGAATAGTGTTAAAAAACCGAGAAATACTGAATTTAGTATGCCCCTAAGATACCTTAGAATATGTGTCAGGATATGTGTAGATTTCATCCCCGGAAAAAGCGCTTATCGCACCGTAACTACGAACAACTAACGTAAACGTACAAAGAAGGTGCAGGTCAATAGATTGGTCGACCCACCACGACATTAAAGGGCGCCACTGATATAGTTGCATTTAAACTTTAAAACTAAATACTTTTTCGCCTTAATTTATGTTTCACAGAACTTTAACGAAGTTTTACACTTTAAAATAGTAAAATCGTTACATGCATATAAAGCTGAAATTGCATTCTTGCTTTTTGATTTGCCTATTACAGGCCACTTGTATTATTTGGTGTATATTATATTATCTTTTTAGGGAAGCCCCCTACTGAAAAATTTGCAACAATAATATGGTTTCACCCAGGAAATTTTACCACTGGAAATCCGGCTATGTGGAACCCATATGAATTGGTGTTTCGCCATCAAGTTATAGTGGTGACTGTAGCTTTTCGGTTAAATATTTTAGGATTTTTTACAACCATGGATGGTGAAGCTCCAGGGAATTACGGTCTAATGGATCAACAAGCGGCAATGATGTGGGTGAAAAATAACATAAACATTTTCGGGGGAAATCCAGATAACATTTGCATAATGGGTTATGGTACGGGAGCTTTGAGCGTGGGTATTCATATGGTCAACTCGCAGTCGCGTGAATTATTTAACAAAGCAATTGCAATGAGTGGGAACTTCATGAATCCAACTGCTGTTAAGTATCCAAACGAAGATAAAAAGATATTGGACGAAATCGCCGAGTATTTTGCCTGCTACAGAACTCCAACATCTGACCTTATCAACTGTTTAAGGAGAGCGGCAGCTCAAAATTTAGTCGCGTTCACATCAAGTGTAAATTGGAGACCGTTAATAGATATTGGTTTAAGCAATACCACCCCACCGTTCCTTCCTAGACCGCCAAAAGCCTTTTTCGAAGAAGGCGACTTTGCTCAAGTTCCTTTTTTAACTGGTTACACGAATATGGAGAATGCTCTAAGTATTGATATGTTGGACCCGGAAATGGTTCAGGATAAGCAAATAAATGACGAATTTTTAAAGGAATCACTTGAGCAACTTGCTCAAAAAGATCTTCCACCTCTTAACGAAAACGACAGTTGCATTTACAACTATGATCATGTGTCCGATTCTGTATTATTTTTTTATGGATCGCAAGAAGCAAGCAAAGACCCGAATAAAACAAGAAAAGTTATAATTGATTACGTTACAGAAAAGAATTTTGGTGCGTCCACGTTTCTCAACGCACAGTACGTGAGCAAATTACAAAAAACTTACGTGTATCGATTTGATATGAAGCCCAGTACTTCTGCAGTTATAACAGACATTCCTGAATGGGTATCGGCACCGCATCTTTTTGATTTAATTTACATTTGGGGAATCCCGTTCTGGGTCCCTCTAAAAGATCAAGAGTGGGACGGTAGGGATAAGAGAACATCAATCACTATTATGTCATTGTGGACGAATTTCGCTAAATATTCGAATCCTACTGAAAGTAATACACACGGAATTCGTTGGGACGTTTTTACCCCAGATAACCCTGGCATACTAATTATTGATCGCATCTTTAACATGAGCGATCAAAGTAAGCTAAATTACAAGGCTTTCGAATTTTGGAACGATTATTATCCAAAAGTTGTCGAAGTTGCAACTCAATGTTGCAATGCAACTGATTCTTCAATATCAATTTATTGGTCAACTGATAGTTGCTTCCATATATTTATAATGATTTTTGTTGGTCTATTAACTGCTTGTAAAGGTTTATAAAACAATTAACTTCAGTTGAATTAATTTGGGAGGTAAGTTTCTTAAAAAAGATATCACTGAAGATGGCGTGCTGTGTGCAGAAACCGAAACTGCTGAAGAGCAAAACTGCTGTACTTGCACTTTAGTGATCACATTCCTAAAACAGCTAACTACCTTTAGTAATATATATTCCAAGACACCATTATGTTTACTATACAGGGTGTTAGGTGTATAGTTGCAACTCTTTTACTAATTTTTAAATATATGAGATTTGACAGTTTGATTTTCACTTATTAAATGTAATGGTAAATATCTAGAGGTGTTGAGACTGTTGGTTAGAGGGGTGGGGGTGGTGTGGGAGGGTGCAGGTGAACTACTCCCCCTACCCGTTATCGTAGCTTTACGTCCCCGCCACCTACAAAAGTTGTTTAGTGTTGTACAAGGTCATACTCCCGCCCTTTCACCCCCCAGCCCGGTTGATGGCCATATCATCTAGACATTTACCAATTCATTTATTATATATAATAATTTAAGATTATTAAAAAATATAGATGTATATTTAACTTCCAGTTTGTAAGTCATGAATCGTTATAAATCATTATAAATTTTCTGTCAATACTTTCCCACCCTGTACACGATAGATACAATTTGAAGTATAAAATCATAGAAACGGGTTAAAACTGTGATTAAATAGATTTAAGAATGTAAGTAATTAGTTATTCCTATTAGTATAAAAGAATAATCTTACTAATTTAATTTTATTCTAGTAAAATTTTCCCTAGAATCGTCTGCTAAACTCCGCAGTAAGTACAAACTGGCATTAGAATAAGCCTTGTATTTTGCTGATGAGTATTCCATCCCTTTTGGTTAGTATTTAAATACTATTTAGTATCAGTATTTAAATCCGGATGATAGTATCCTCTGGTGTCAGTATTCAAATGCAAGTGGTCTAATTAAGTAACTAATAAACTAATTAACCTAACCAGTAAGTAATTAATGAGTCCACCATTTACCATTTTTATACTGACCATTTAATAAAAGGTAGTTTAGTTATTATTTTATTTCTTATATAACAATGTCGCATAAGTTAAAATTGTTCTACTAATACTAACAACATTCCTTAAAAATACAGGGTGATTACGTCGATAGGTAGAATGCATATTGCAGTTTTTTATATAGGTACCTATCGTACCATGTATTGAATTTCCACGTAAATATAACTTAATTTTCAAGTTAAATGTACACAGTAACAGACATTGAAAAGGGATAACAGAAGTAAACCATGATCTACTAGAAAATTTTTAAATAATAAATACGTGGTTTATTGCAACAATTGCAAAGCTGCACTGTTACTTCGAGTAGTTTTGACAATTAATTAATATTCAGTTAATGAATACGTGCATAGTTTATGATTGTTATAGTTTTGGATGTTTTGCTTTTTTGGAAAATCCTTATCATGAGCCACCCTGTAGATATTTTAATAGTATATACATAATTAAGGAAAATTAAATGAAAAATACAAAAATTTTTAACGCTTTAAAAAGTAATAGTTAATAATGAATGTACTGTACATAATTTCCTACATTTGTACTATCAAGTAACAAAACAATACAAGCACCCTTACTGCAATGATGACAATCTTCAAACATATCAGTATGTCGATAGGTGAAAAGCTGTATCTTCCTACACTTATTAATGAAAATGTTTTCTTTTTTGTACCAATTTTTAATGTTTTAATAAATTCTACATCAACAAAATAAACCTTGTAGTATAGTTTGTATGTATACTTCCTTTATGCAATAAATAATATGTATAAAATCTTAATCTTAATTCATAGGTTTTTATATATACCCATTAATTTAGAATGTACTGTATTTATGAAATCGGGATATTTTTTTAAATAAAACATTAAGATAATTAACAAAAAATAATAACACATTATATTTTTCAAAAGTAAAAAAAGCCAAATTATTGAAAAAATAATAGTGAAACTTACTATTTTAAAATATTTTAATGCAAAAAATGCTAAAAAAAGTTTTTTAAAAAACAAACAAAATATATTAGAAATTTTCATGTTATTGTAAATATGAGAAGTAGTACATGGCTTTTCCTCAACTTTTCCTAGCCTAACATAAACGCCATGTTGTTTGTGGACCAGTTGTGTTTTATACGATTGTTCACCTCAAAAGCCCTTCAAAATTGGTCTAGATGATTGTACATCACGTAGATGTTGCAACTCTTGAGCAATCCTAACCTAAACATTTTCCTGCGGATGTGAATTACGGGGACTGTTTGTACTGTATTTGATGCCTCAGTCAGATATTAAGTTTTTTTTTAATAATGTAACAGTGTATTAGAATTTCCGTTAAAATTTGGAATATGTGAATGTGTAAAATTTAATAAATGTGATTAATCAAGTTTGTTTAACTCGACTACAAATTGATTCTATTGACGATAAGAGTAAAAGAGGGGATCTGCTTTAGTATATTGATAGTGACGATAAAAGAAAAAAGAAATATATAAATTTCCTGTTTTCTTGTTGAGGTTTCATAGTGTAAATTGATTGTAAATTGATTGTGTGTTACAAAGTAATAAGTGTAAAGTGATCATTCTGTCTAAAATGTCCATTTTGTTTTTGTAGACAGGAGTTGATTTGATTGCTCTAAGCAAGGTAAGATTGTTATGGAATTCTTAATTTGGTTTACTTTTATTCTACATGTTGTATAATTGAACCGGCCTTGTTCTTTGTTTTAATATTAAAATGGTAGTTAAATTTAATTGTTAAATATTTAAATGAGGTCTGGATAAAATGCAGAAAGTACAAAAATGGTGATTTTTTTAGAAAACTTTCTGTTTGTTCATTATGTGACAAAATGTCAAAATGACTTCCAAAGTGGAAAAACTAGGAAGCCCTGGCAATATTTCAAAAAATTTTAATATAATAAAAAAAGATTATGGTAGTAATTTAAGAAGCAATATGGGGAATGGATATACTAGTGATTCAAAAGATGAAACATTTGAGTTTGAAGTTCCTCCTGAAGCTCCCGTATTTTATCCAAATGAGGAAGAATTTAAGGACCCACTTGCATACATTGCTAAAATTAGAGCAGTTGCTGAAAATACAGGAATATGCAAAATAAGACCTCCACCCGTAAGTTCCTGTTTATTACTTCTACCTACTCTTGTTAACTTCATACACATTTACATATCCTTTGAGTGACTAAATATTATTTTTATTTACTGCAAATTGGGTAGTATTTTTCACTAATTAGCAATTGCTAATCAGTTATTAAAAAAAAAAATGAAAATATATTATTTACCAACCAAACACATTAAACCTATATAAAC